AATGAGATTGATGGTTGATGATAATGTGTACATTCTTGATTTAAATTGTAGATTATGCATAGTGATGAATTGTATATGAGCATGTTAAGTCTTATATGATGTTAATGTAATTTTATGTGATAATATAAAAATTGATACAAAAGACATGATTGAAATATGATGATTCTTAGTGTTTGTAAGCAAGAAAATTGATAAGCATGTGGAATAATTGTGAATTATATATATGAGTCTTTGAAATGCATTTTCTCATAAGCATGATCATATAGTAGGAGTTTGCCTTAGTGAAGGAGTTAGCAGTTATGCAAAATTTATATGGTACTTGACTATTAACCAATAATCCTCAGGGTTATAGCCGCTACTTACCTTATAAGACACTGTAACATTGTTCCTATTAAGGGACTTAACCTTACTGACCTATCTGGAGTTTTGGGTAGAGCTAGTTTTGGGTATGACACCCTATAGTATGTGATTTTGGGGGAAATCATGTTCATAAGTGAGTAAGGTAACCCTGGCTCTGTAGCACCTCACGATATGATTAAAATCTTGAGTAGTCTCACCACATGGATAATCCCTTCCGGTTGTTGGGCTACGAATTTCATGTCAGAAAAAATAATGAGGGATGTAAGGGAGAGATTGATCATGCATATTATTATTATCATGCCATTTGAGTGATTGATGGCTATGTTGAGAATATGATTATAATTATGAAAATGAGAACATGTAGTAATTATGTGAATAATGTATATGTAGCTATTTGTGCAAACTTTATATTTGACTTTATTCTAGAGATTATTTACATAAGTTAGATGTTAATGTGATTAACATGTTATTAATGTGATTGTTTACATGGTCACCTTGATAAACTTATTAGCTACTTGCATTTATGATTAATTATCATGCATTTGTATAACTTAAATGTACCTTAATTACTGAGTGATTGTACTCACCCTTCTCTTTTACCATATTACAGGAGTTAGCTCATCTCAGAAGAACAGAGGAAAGGAGCATTAGGCCAAGTAACAGTAATCACTTCTGTAGGCCTTTCTCCTTTTATTTTGATATGTGTATTTAGTTTATGATATTGTCAACCAGAATAATATATTTTTGATCCACTTGCATTATGAGTTTTGTGTTGGGAAAAATATATTTTGGACCCTTAGGAATGTGGTTTGATGCTTGTGCTATATTAACGGGCCAAAATATTTATACGAGTAAAAATAGTTAATATCTGCTTAGATTGAGAACTTGAATGTTGTTATCATCTCTCCTTGTGTTTTTGATGTCTAAGGGTGAGCAGTTGATATTAATTATATGTGAATGAAAAGAAAAAATTCATGCATATGATAGGCTACTGATGAATAGACGATATACAGAGTTTAATAATTAGATAATAGTCATTGTAATAAACGTGATTGAGTCCTTGGCTCCCCGCTGTCAGTAATGAAAGGGTTTGAGTGGCCAAGTATTATGCTGTACATATGTATATATGTACTATGGAGTAAGTCACGGAGAGAAAATAAAGGGAGAAGCTTTTCTCTCATGTTAATGTGTTTCCTTTATCATGCTTCTGCATATGTCTAATTAGATGATATGAGTTCTTAAAATATTTTAAAGATTTGGGATCCCTTTGGGTTGAATTATTTGTAAAAATACATGTTAAGAATTTATTTAGGTTAATCTCTTATAGAATAATTTTTTTGGGTTAGTTCTTAATTTACTATAGTTAGTCTGATGATTAAGTCATAATTTAGGACACCTTTTACAATAAATCCTTCTTGGAAGGTGTGGTAAAGGCTTTTCTTAAATATGAGCCAACCCGATCTCAATTTGAATTAATTTGGCCTTATGAGTTGGTGGGCTGAGATATCAGACACTTTCAGTAAAAAAAAATGCCATCCTTCCTTTTTAAATTATCAACGAGAAGTGAATGTTGAGAAGAAAAATTTTTGATTTGTTCTAACGATTGACTTGATGTTAATTGCTATTACAAAGTAACAATGTTGTGTTGATTTTGATAGATTATTTTTTATATTGTTTTATGACTCTTTTAGGATATCCATGCCTCCATTAAAAATACCTTTTGAACAATCAAAGGGTACTTGTCCAAGTGCATGTGACTTGTGATAGCTTAATTTGGGATATTGAATTTGAGTCTTAAGGCATGCAGCAGTGTAGCTGAATGTGTAAAGCATGCATTATTTGAGGTACCTATAAAGACCACCTTAAAGAGGGCACACTAAGCAAGGGTTTGGATTAGTTTAGAGTAGGCTGGGTGGGCAACGAATTCAATATATCCAAATGCTTCAAGATATCGGGTGCAAAAGCAAGAGAAAAAAAAAAGAAAAATAAATAACTTTAGAATAAAAATGCATAAAAAAGAAGGATACTTTTATTGAATTAATAGAAAGATAGGGTGTGAGAGAATAAAGCATTTGATAAAGGATATTTTTTAAACTAGGAGATAAATTTTTTGTAATATGATCATGGCAAAACTATATAGAAAGACTAAAATATAATCGTGTCTAAAATCAAGAAGCTCGAGCGAGGGTTTATTGAAAATTTTAATATCAAAATTATCACTTAATGTTGTGTAGGTCAACATATCGGCGTATCTATTTATTTTTCTATAAATATAGTTAAAAGTGACCATTTAATCTCTCATATTTTTTATTTTTCCATACTAGATAATGGTAAGCATGTATACTGTTTTGTGTAAATTCAATAATTTTATCTTATGAAAATAAGTCAAGCATGTGGCAGCAGGACATTAACACTCTTTTGTAGTTTTTTTCCCCCTTGGTATCAAAGAGAAAATTATTAAACAATGCTAATATATTAATATTAAAAAAGTAAAATAAATTTATTTTGTAATTTTTTATCTACACATATCTATGATCAACAAGGATGTTTTCTCTTTTTGCACCAGCATGATTCTGTATGATTGCATTAAATTAAATTAAGGCCAATGACACCTAAATTTTGGTATGAAATATTATATTTCCTCTGCTAAAAATGTTAGGTATTTTTTAAAGAGTTGAATGTTAAAAATATAAGGTATTTTTAATCTTTTAAGGTATAATCATTGCTTTTTTTAAAAGTGTCTCTATTAATAATGACTTTATATTTATTGTAAGGTGCTTAATAGGGGATAAATATAAAAGATAGGATTAATTTGAAAGTAGATAACTACTTTATTGAAATGAGATTTGATTAAAAATACTTCATATTTTTTAACGGATGGAATATATATTACCAAGTTTTTAAAAAAAAAAATAGAAGGAATTATATTATTAAAATAGAAACAACCTATGATAATATCGTCGACAGTCAATGTATGATGCACAATTATAGCACTTATGTTCGAGGGCATCAATCAAGACGATATATTTTTAAAGATTAAGAATTATTTTTACTCATCAACATTATGTAAAGGATTTTTGGGTATTCAAATTCAACTGTAAATTAATTTTATTTTTTAATATTAACGTTAAAGATTTCATTTTTTGTCATATTGATGCTAACTTGCCGTTGCTTCATTATTAATAGGCCTTACATTATATTTTTTAATATTTTATTATTATAAAATATTTGAGTTCAAGGTATTTACGAATCATTTGAGATAAAGTTGAGAGAAAAAATAACTCTTAACCTTATATTTTATAATAAAAATATTAAAAAATGTAATGTGAAGCTAAATAACAATAAAATAACGACAAGTTGAAGTTAAGATGAGGGAGGAAATTTATAACGTTGAGAGACATAATCGATTTACAGTTGAATTTAAGGTGTTCAATGACCCTTTTGGGAAAAGTAAAGAAACAACAATGAATCTTAATCCTATCTTTAACAATAAAACTCTGGCAAAATACTCTCAAATAACTCAAAAAAGTTTTGATTCAGCCATATGTTTAGCCAGTTTAAATCACTAATTGTAATCACCCCACACATTCATATTCACTATATATTTAAACTCAATGATAAGAGGAAATGGGATATATTAAAGTAGCGTCTCATTATTAGAATGGTTACTAAAATGATATGATCAAAGGGATATATAAGCATATTCATAAACAGAAGGGATAATTTAATTCATAAGGTTATGAATTATGATTTATGAAATTTTTAAAGGGTGTAATAATTCATACATTTATAATACATATTAATAAATTTTATCATACTTATTATAAAAAAATGATAATTTAATTTATTTTATCTTAATTTTTTAATTAATTTTATTTTATTTTTTTTAGTAGTCAAATGAGACTTAAATCTTACTAGAGATTTCCACTAGACAGTTTAGAGGCTGCTCCAACCAAAAGCCTGGACTTTGAACAAAATGCGAGTCTTGGGAATTTCTCTCAAAGTGATCCAAACGCAAGCCTCTCATATCTTAACGACGTCTCGCCCCCAACACGCGCGCGCGGGGGGATTTTTAACTTGATAATCTTCCAACTTATCACCCTCTTTAAGCTAATTTTAATTCAAACTTCAACGAAAAAAGAATCTCTTGATATTTATCTTTGTCTGAAATTTTACAAGATTATTATCAGAATATTTAAATTCAAACTAATAAAAAATATCTTCATGATTGTATTTATTGAAATTATTTTAAAAATAATAAAAACAAACATTAATTAAAATGAGATAACATAAAACAAACTCTTCCAACTGTCATTCGAAGCCTTTTGTTTTTTTTGTTTTTTCAAAAAATAGCGGAAATATTGCTACCCCAAGGCTCCAAGCCTGCTGCGTGTGAATCTCACTTGAAATACCCAACGAAAAAATGGGCTCCAACGTCAAAATTGTGAAGTACGGGCCCATTTGCCGGTGCCCAAAGTTGCCTGCTCAGCCCATAACGCATCCAGGTCGCCTTAGATGTTCGAGTTTCGTCTCCCCTCCCTCTCGTTCTCCATCTTCTTAACGCCGGCGACGGTGCGTTTCCGCAAAGATAAGGTTAGCTTGCTTAGCCTCTTCCGTTTCACACTCTAATTTCTTCCCTCATATTTGTGGTTGTTTTCTGCTTTATCTTCCAAGTTCTCAGCACTTGCTTCTTTTGATTTCTTTCTTTTTCTTTTTTTCCTTTTTGCTTGCTTTCCTTGCTTTTGAGAATGGTTCAAATGCTCTATTCCAGAATGAGCGCACTATTTTGGCATTTGACTTGTTTGATCTCTTTCTACATTTGGTTTGCAGGCTTTGAACATTTTATTTTAAAGCTCTCAATTGAATGCATTGAATTCACCTCAACCAAGTTAAACATGATGTTTAAAAATCTCGCTAAAAGATGAATGCATTGAATGTATTGGGCTTAGGGATTTGCATTCGAGGGATCAGCCGCTTCCTGGGTTCATACTTCATTTCATATATGTTTATTGTTTAATCTTTTAGCTTGCGAGGCCTTTCTATAGCATGACTTCGCAATCTTATAGGTCAAATTATAGTTAGCCGCCGTTAATTAAAAAGCTATTTTCGAAACTAACATAGTTGGAACTTGGAACTGATTTCTTCATGCTCTTTTTTTGTGCCACCAATGTCTTCATGCTCTTCTATTGAAAGTTGAAACTAACTTCTCTTCTAGAACGCGGCGTGACATAAGTGGTAAAAAATGTAGCTGTACCATATATTCTGTTATTGTGCAGCAAGGTCTAGCTAGCATGTTTATAGACTTTGAAGGTTTCCAAGCATCTTGGGACCAAGACATTAACTCAAGCCTTCTCAGTATAACATCAAATATCCTATCAGGATTCTGAACCCTGGGAGTATGAGGGAGTTGGTGCTGGTCCCTTAGACCTCGTGAAAAACTGCATTGGCCAAAAATAATGTGATTGAAGAAATCTGCAACTAAGTGGATTTTATAGAGGTATCCATAGGGATAACGGAGGTGCCCTATTTTTTGGATTTGAAAGATATTTGTTATCTTATGGTAGCATTGGTTATCACCATATTCTGTTTTTCTACTGATGGAAAAGATGGAGGCAGTAAGTTGTAGGTAATGTGAGAAAAGATGCTATATGAGCTGAATATTTTTGCCCTGTCTTTTATGTTGTTTGTTACTGACTGCTTCACAGAATATTTTATTCCACTGTCAATTCTGGAATGCTTTGCAGGTAGTGCATGCATTCAGCATCTAAGAGGTGGTAAAAAAATATGGCCAAGCATCATCCTGATTTGATCATGTGTCGGAAGCAGCCAGGGATTGCCATTGGACGGCTTTGTGAGAAATGCGATGGCAAGTGTGTGATCTGTGACTCTTACGTGCGCCCTTGTACCCTTGTTCGTGTTTGTGATGAGTGCAACTATGGATCATTTCAGGGTCGGTGCGTCATATGTGGAGGAGTAGGAATATCTGATGCCTACTACTGCAAGGAGTGTACACAGCAGGAGAAAGATAGGGATGGTTGCCCAAAAATTGTTAATTTAGGGAGTGCCAAAACTGATCTGTTCTATGAACGTAAAAAGTATGGTTTCAAGAAACGATGACGAGGCTAGCTGGTTTTGCTTTGATCTGTGTATTTCACTTGCATGTCAAAACCGTTCAAAATGTTTGAATATGTGTCTACTCTCATATAATATCTATTGCCGACAATAAAAGTGTTTGACTAGTGATCATATATGTTTGCTAGCGTGAAAGTATCAACTAGAACTCCCTCTCTTTCCAGTTCAGGTATTTCCTTGATTCATTTGTCCGTGTAAATCAGGTAACAAACGGTGAAAGTTCTCCAGGCAGTAATCACCTGAAGGCGACCCATCTATAGACCATAATATATTGGACCGTAATTTAGTGTCGTATTGTACACTACCAAGCATATGATAGCGTATTATATTATACCAATGTCAAATATGATATAATACTTTTTTGGTCCTATTCATAGAGCAAAGAGAGAAGAATAATTTTAGGTTTATTTGTAGGGTATGTCACTATTTTTTACATTCATCTTAACATTTATACTCTTATTAAATGCTAGAAAAAATTATTAAAAATAATATTTTTTGTTTTTATTAAAAGATAGAAGTGAGAAAATCTTAAAAATTATTAAAAATAGTTTTTTTTTGTTTTTATTAAATGGTAGAAAATCGTTTGAGGTAGTTTAAACATGTACAAAAAAGATCACAAGAGGCACCTGTGAAGAAAGTGGAACAAATGATTTTGAAGCCTGTCAAAGAGGGTAGAGAAAGATTAAAGACAACACTTTTAAAAATTATTGAGTGAGACCTTTTAATTAACAATATTTCTAAAAGCTTAGTAAGTGATAAAACATAATAATGTCCCATGTAACTGACCTCACCTAGTGAGATAAAGCTGCTTGTTGTATAGTAAAAGATAGAAGTGAAAATTTATTAAATTTTAAGACATGATTAAGATTTTTTTAATTTTAATAAAATATATTAAAAATAACTTATAAATAAATTAAGAAAAAATATTCTTCTATTTTATTAGGCCTTGCGTTACACAATGGTTTGCGTCATATGCCCCCTGAAAGTCATCTAAAGTGTGATCATCCGGGCTTTCATATGACACTGTTCCTGACATGTCAAATCACAGGATGTCATAAGAGGGAATATTAGAGCAAATTACAATTCGAAATATGCTATCTAATGTTGGTTTACCTTCCATCATTCTGTCACATGAACTAGCTTGACATGTCTCATAATTTGCAGCATTGTCAAGCTAGTAGATACATTTCTAGATCAGAAGGAGCAGACTATGTTTAACCGCTGTCTAATTTAGGATCTCCCCAAAAAATTTCAAGATAGTAGGATTGATTTCAATTTTTCAGACCATAACGACCAAATTAGAAAATATGAAAGAATTCTGGGTGCAAATTGTCCCCAAGTAGCGAAAGTTATTCGGAATAAAATATCAAGTTTATTTTTGGAAACATAAAGTCTTTTATATTGTAATTTAAAGGAAAATAATAAAAACATTACGATTTAATTTTTTTTAAAAAAAATGCATTAAAGTATTGCATTTAAAATATCGATCCGGAACATAGAATTATCAAATACAAATACGTATTAAAAAATTTTAAATTTAATTAAAAATATTTCAATACTTTTTTGACAGTTAAATAAATAAAACAAGTATCAATACGTTGACAAAATTATAACAAACCCTAATTAATTGCGAGGCGTATACGATAATCCATTCAGTTTTGGTGACGGCGGTTTATATCAATTATTCATGCAACAAGACACTTGCTTGTATATTTTATTTGATCCTATTGTTTAAAAAAAAAAAAAAAACCTGGGGACATGGCTTCTATCCCTCGCTTCCTTTTGTTCCTTCTGCCTTTTCTACCCTCCTCACATGCTTTGCCGAAACATCGGAAAAGGTATTACATATTCCTCTATCATTGTTTTCCAAATCGTACATATTTACATCATCTTTCATTGTTTTGCTTCTTGTAAATAACATAATGTGAAGTTTGTGCAAGGCAAACAATATCCACAAGTTGAATTGAAAGTTGCATTTTTTTTTTTCATAACAATATCTCTGTTTATTTTTTGATTAGGTTGGCGTCTTGGTGAGCCTTGTCTATACAAGTTGAACATGAGTTGCATAATTCATAACTTTTTGAAAATTGTTATTTATTATATAAATTATTGATTATTTAAAAACATGATCGAAATGCATTTTTTTACATTAAATGGAACAAACTTATCTCATACGGAAGATTATGGACCGACTGGGGCTAATGGTGATCTAAGTTCTAAGTCCTAATCCCCCTCCATCTTCAGGTGAGTTATGCAACCGCTAGCCAGTATTATCTTTTCTACTTGTAATTTTTTATTCTATGGTCATAAATAAAAATTTGATGAAGCATACATGTTTCAGATATATTTCTACTGGTAAAAAAAAATATTTTTGAAAAATTAATATATAAGCCCCATATAAGGGTCTATATTCAAAGAGGTCCCTGAATTGGGGTTAGAAATAGGTTGGGCCAAGTTAAGTTTTGACTAAATAAACTTGAACTCGTGTGATAAGTTAGAGCTCCGAGTTTGGTTTAAAATTTATATAAATCTTTTTTTCACATTTCATAAATCTACTTAAAATTTGGTGTAATTTAAAAGTCTATTTCAAAACTTACTTAAAAGTGAACATTTTAAATTAAATAAGCTTACATAATAAGCTTTAAAGGTCTCATATAAGTTTTAAAATTACTAAAATCTATATATGTACAATTATCAACTAAAATACATGATAAGTGAGAGAACTTATCAAATATAATCTAGTACAAGTATTGAAATCAATGCATGCATAAGTTGAAACTAACTGAAAAGATAACCAATAAACTAGAAATGAAAAGAAACATAATAATTAAAAATCAAATGATGAAATTAGTATATCATAAATTTATCATACAAAAGATAATTGAAAAGAATATTAGCAAGGAAGAAGAGTCCAGTGCCTTTGAGTTTTTATATAGAAGAAGAGTGAGAAGGGAGTAGAGTTATTGATATTCAAATTTTTAAATTAAATATTAAATATATATATATATATATATATAATATTATATTTGTGTGTGTAAATAGGCTACCATATAAAGCTCACAAGCAGCTGAGTCTTACAAAAATAGGCATGCGTATTAATTGAATGCCTAAATCTATCATCTAATTTGTCAAGTGGAGGATGTAGAAATTCTCTGCACATGTCGTGATTCAGCTAGCTGTGCCGACTCACTTGCTAGGAACGCACATTTTGTGGGCAAGGAATTGAAGGTGTTGACTGAAGCACCACCTTGCCGCCAAGAAATCGTCCAAAGTGAGGACTCGACTTGTTGTCACAACCTATATTCATAGAAGAAAATATGTAAGGTTGTAAAATTTTTGAAGACTTTTAAATAATGAAGAGAATTTTAGAATTTTTAAAAAGGATTTAGTATGTTCTAGAATGTTTTAAAAGTATCTAGAACAATCTAAAATTATTTAAAAAAAATTAGAAAGATTTAAAAGTTTCTAAAAAGTTATAGAAACTTATGAAGGAATGTAAATATGTCTAGAATATTTTAGGATATTTTAAAATATTTCACATATCTCTTAACTGGTAATCTAAAAACATCCTTATAAACATCTAGATATTCATTGTAGATGTTTCTATAGAATACTCTAAATGATGAATGTAAACTATAGGATTGAATTGATCTACACTGTTCATTAAGGAAGTGGTAAAACTCTAGAATAAGGGGGGAGTCTATAAATATCTCCTCATCCCCTCATTTGTAAACTACAAGAAAATCAAGCAAAGTTTTAAACTTTCAAGTTCTGTCATCCAAACTCTTTTTCTTGTATTTAAGTTTTCTAGTTTCTTTGCCTACATTTTGAAGATTTGACTAATTTAGCCAAGATTAAAAGATTGATCATACTCAAGCTGACGCGGTTCAAGAAAAGAAAAATTCTAAGGCCATGACATTATGCTCTTTTAATTAAGTCTATTGTATCAACTTTTCAAGTTTAAGCTTGCTTATTGTTCTCCCAAAAAAAAAAGAAGCCTAAATTTGCCCTTGTTTATTTAGTAAATAGACTTAACCTGACTTAAAGTGGGCCAGTTTATAAGCTCCTGATAATGACCTAACCTACTTTCATCTCATTAGATGTAAAAATAGGCTAGGCTAAGTTAGGCTTTAGCCAAAGAGGCTTGAGCTTGTGTGATAAGTCAGAGGCCTAAATCTGACCTGAAGCATGCATAAGAATTTTCTTACGGCTCATATTTAAGCCTACTTAAAGCCAAGCCTAACTTGAAAGCATATTTAAAAGCTCAATTAAAAAGTAAGCCTTTTAAATAAGTTTACATTTTAATTTTAAATGTTTCAAATATACTCTAGGACTATTAGTGTAAATATATAACCTTATTTATCAATTACAATATATGATAATTAAAAATAACTTAATAAAGTAATAACATTAAAATCAATATATAAGTCTAATCTAATTAAAAATATAATTAAAAATGAAAAAAATAGATTGATTGAAAATTAAATTATGAAACTCATGTGTGTGTAATATATTATATAATATGTGTGTGTAAATAAATCAACTTATTGGACTTGGAGGCTAGGCCTTAAAAAACTATGCTTGACCTGTTTAACTAAATTAAAAGCCTAAATTTGATTTAAGCTTATTTAGTAAATAGATTGAATTGGGCTTAACAGGCCAAGTGCAGGCCATTGATAGGAGTTTGGCCTATTTTCATCCCTAAACCTTGTTGTGAATTTAAAAAAATACAGCCAAATTCTTTAAGACTTAGTGTAATTGAAATTTTAGATGAAAAGATCTTTATGGCCCAACTCACTAAAACAAAAAGAAAAAAAAACAATAAATGAAGTTATATTTATCTCGCATTTACAATTGCAACTTCATAATTTATAAATGAGAATTCTTAATTTAAAAATAATATTTTATATTTTATAAATAATAGACTAAAGTCATATTTACCTTTCATTTACAATTATAACTTTACTATGTACAAATAAAATTTTTTATATAGTCATATTTTATGTTTTATAAATAATAGACTCAAGTCATATTGACCCTTCATTCTTGACTGTAATTTTAGAATTTACAAGTAAAAATTCTTAATTCATAAATCATATTTCATGTTTTATAAATATAAATGCATCTTTTCTTTTCTTTTTT